ACCCCAACCCCTATCACTACCCCTATCACTACCCCAACCCCAACCCCTATCACTACCCCAACCCCTATCACTACCCCAACCTCTATCACTACCCCAACCCCTATCACTACCCCTATCACTACCCCAACCCCTATCACTACCCCTATCCCAACCCCTATCACTACCCCAACCCCTATCACTACCCCAACCCTATCATTACCCTTATCACTACCCCTACCCCAACCCCTATCACTACTCCAACCCCTCCTTATCTACTCCCCATCTGTTCTCTTGTCACCATGACTACACCACCACCACATTTAATAATAACCCCACTCTCTATCTCAGCCACTGTCATCTTATATACAATGTTATCATTTCTGTAAAGTGCCTTGGAATAAGGCGCTATATAAATGCATAAAATATTTTTTTCAAAATCTGTACCCAGCTAAATTTTACATTTTGTACATCATAAGACGAAGCATCTGATTGATGCTCCTGCACAGCAGCGCGACCCTTCGTGTTCGAACACATCCCATGGAGCATGACCTACAGAGCTTCCTCTGAGATCCATTGAATTGGCCTCTGGTCTACACGATGCAGGGCACAACTTTGACCATCCGCTACGCATGGGAAGAATGTTTGCCGCCGGACATTCCAACCGATATTTGAATTCTCAGAGCTGGAATTTAGCCAAAAATCCAGAACCAAATTTAACGCAAATTATTTTATTTGTCATTGTGGCAGCTGCATGAGTAACATGCAGCTGCCACAAATCTGAACCCAGGATCTCAGCGGTGCCAGCTCAGCACTCTGACCTCCTGCCCCCTCACTTTTTTTTATCAGAGCTGAGCTGACAAAGCCATCTCGGCACCAACGCAGTTCCTCCGCGCTTCCCTCGAGCGAAGGTGAAGAACTTGGGCTCTCTTTGAGCCGTCGCTCCACCGTGCCGATTGCCGGAGGACGTAGAGGTGACCAACTTCCGCGTCGGGAGTTTTTTGTTTTTATCGCGTCACAACCTTAAATGCATTCTGTCTCCTGTAACGCCACGTGGTGTTTTCATGACGCCAATTGTAACACAACGCGACGGACGCATGAGGGAATGCATTTTTGTTACAACTCGGACGAGAATTGGATGCACCGCGATCGAGTGAACGGAACTACGTCGCGCGAGTACGAACAAGCAGCTGTGTGGCTGCCTCGGCGCAGCATCCCACAAGGCGGGATGCTGCGGGATGCTTCTAGATGCTATCCACGCGCCTCAATCTTTGTTCAGTCTGCGTACGCATCTCATGTGTTACTGCGAACTGTGTTTGACCCTACATTATACATTATTTTGTGTTATTCAAGAACGCAACCGCTACCGCGTTTTAGTAGAACGGACTGCACGTTACCACCCGATTTTGTGGGTTTTATAGTCACGCGAGATTGAATTTCCCTTATCACGTGGAAATTCTGAAGCAGCCAAATGTTCTACCAAATTGAAGGCAGGCCCAGAAGCACGAGGATCACGGGACCTTGTAGGCTGCCCTTGGCCACGGCGTTCATGCCGGATTTATCGGCCGTGTTCAGGCCCGTGGGGTTGGGTGGCAGCGAGGTCGTTGCTGATTGCAACGCTCGCTGTAAAACCCAATGCTTGCTGACACAGTGGAACCAACGCAGCCCGCTGCCACCTCAAAGTTCACAGCTGGAGGTAGACGCGGTCACAGCGGAGCGGCAGCTTCCTCGCTCACGTGTCCGTGGCTTCAGGGAATAGAGGCCCCCTCAACGGCTTCGGCAGGGTTAACAAAGCCAGGGCTGCGTTTTTCACCGAATGTTTTTTTTTCGGGGTCGCTGGTAGAGTGGAATAGATGGCGTTGCCACCGGATTCGCTGCGCCGAACAGAACCCGCTGCAACTACGCCCCGTGTATGGTGCGTGTGAAGTCTTGTAGGGACAAGAGTGTGCAGGTTTCTCGATGTACAGCACTGCACAGGTATGTATAGAACAAGTAAAAAATATCTGGCAACCCGAACCTCCGATTAGCGCGGTTGGCTACGTATAGTGCAGAAGAAGTGCAATGGGCAATAAATACCGTACATCCCGTTGTCAATGGACTGCTGAATAGAGGCCTCCCTATACAATGTTGGTCACTGGGGATTTTTTTGACCGTAAGTCGAAGACGGGGGGGGGGGGCAAGAACTAAATTTGATAATACTCCCCACTGGCTTAGCCAAGACATAGACTTGAACTCAGGTGGCCATGTTCATAGTATGCCGCTTGCCACTGTGCGACCGCCACACCCCCTGTGTGTACAGACTCGCACGCGTCACTCTGTTCTTTCACGAAATCACCCGCTGTTCATATTTGATCGTGTAGCATAAAGGGATTGACAGGGCTACAAAATAAGCCAAACGTTAGGTTCAATAAGCCATGCTTTGAGTGAGCAATACCCCTAGTCACGGACCCCATCCATTTGGATTTTTATGGCAAAACAGGATAAGCCACGTAGCAGTCAGGAAGAGAATAACGTGGCAGTGAGTCTTGTCGATCCTGCAACACGTGTGCAGGGTGGGTGGAGGAAACACTGGAGCGGTCTCCGTGAATTCGGCGACCAAGGGGGAGAGCAGACCTAAGAGCAGATGGTGGGATACCGTGAGGGCTGATCGTGGAGGTCACGTGTCACTGTGCAGCAGCTGCGGCATCTGGATGAGGGTGGCATCAACGGCGTTGGCCACGATTGCATCCGGCTCGTTCTCACATTGCGTGTGTGGCGTTATTTGAAGTGTACATTCATGTTACTGTACCGTAGTTTGGTTTGTTCCATGTTTAATTCCCAAACGTGCTCTCCGCGTCGACTTTGACAGGCGTGTCATCGGGAACTCTCAGCGCCAGCAGTGCGTCACACTTTGTCATTGATTACGTCAGAGAACTACTCCTGAAATTACTTCACTAAACCTCTCTTGTCCACACGAAGGGGTACTCTCTTTACATGCCCTGCAAAGTGTGCTCATCAAAAGGCAATAAAGCCAACGTTTTTATACATTCCGAGCTGCAATTTCTAATAAACTGAGTTAAAAACTACGTTTAACGTTATGCGGTTTTCAATGTGAGGTTACAATCAATAATAGTGAGTGGACTGAGACCATCATCTTGCCACACGCGAGAACCCAGTTGAATCACGGGTGGCCCGAGATACGGATTCAAACTCAGGATATTAGCAACGCTCCGAGCCACTGGATCACCCGGACACATGCATTCACACATTCTACATAGCGAGTGGTCTGCACGCTACGTAACGCACAATGTGCTTCACCGTGTGCGTGCCAGGCTCCGAGTTCCCGATGTTGGTTGGCCTGCGGACCCCACAATGCCACGCACACCGCTTTCGCAGTCCGGTTTCTGACAGTGGCAAATGTGCGTCGGGGGTGAGATAAGGCATTCCGCTGACGTCACCACGACCAATACATCTATCACGGCTCTGTGCCGGAGGAGTGGAATATAAATTGAAGCTGCGGTTTGTTTAAAGAATTTCCGCCCCCCTAGCAATTTTTTTTAAATTAAAAGGAACATTGTTAAATTTGCAAAACCATGTATGGTTACATGTTTAACAGATGACGTTTAGGCCGGTATCATGACTGACTGTAGGAGGGTCTAACGGAGCTGGTGATGAATTCTCCCACGTCTCACCAACTCCAGGCGGCTTCTCACCCTGGACAATCAAATCCGGCCACTCGCGCGTCGGAGGATGATTCAGTGGCGTGCCGTTTTCCTACGCCTACTCACCCGCGGATAAAACTCACCCGCGGCTGATGACAATTTAAGAAAATATTTTTTTTTATCACAGGTGCCCAAAGGGTCCAAAATGCCGAGTGACCAGCAACAAACAAACAATAACAAGCAAGCGTCAGCATTGAAGGTTGCACCTCCATCAGAGTGAACGCGCTGTCGCGCAAGTCAATAAATCTGGCCACGACCTCACGCCGCGTAACTGACACCCGAGAGTCCCGACACCCCCACACGTCACAAAGGGAGCTCTGGCCAACCGCGTGCGGAGAACAACAACCGGCCCTCGCTCCCCACCGGGCACACGGCGCCAGAGTTTGACAGCTCGATCGGGCTCCAGCTGCTCCAGTTAATTCCTACGGGGGACGCTCTCTCGCCAAAGCTTGCCATCTGCTCTCGCCGTGACGGCACGCACGACGGCAGTCGCCGCGAGGAGTGGCCGGGTGGCTCCAGGGTCGGAGCAACTGAACCGGCAACGTTCAGAGCCTGGGTTTGAATCCGGCCAGCAGCCCATGGTTAAATGGGGTTCTCAGGTTTGTTGGAAGTTTATGGTCTAGGCCTGCTAACGAATAGCCGTACAGAAGAAAAGTGTCAAATTTGATTTCGTTTGTTATTTTATTTATCTAATGTTGAGCTCTGGACAAAAAAAAACATTCCACGCGACGGACATTTATTACTGTGTCCGTACGTGCGCAGCACCCGGTAAGGTGCGCAAATAGGTCACTGAAATGGATGTCAGAAAGTAGTTTTATGATATCTTCTTCTACAGGCCACTCTCTAACACACGGGTGGGACACGTAATCTCATAAACATGGTGCCAAGAGCACAATTGTAAATAAACCTGTAAAAAAATGGGAAAAAAGTAGCCGATTGCACTTGAGCCCAGGTCCAACATGTAAACATTTACAACTAAACTGCATTATCTTTCTATTTGCTGATAAACAAAAGCTCACTGAACGACGGTCTTCAATGGTGGCCCTGGTTTTCCTTCGCGAAAGGAAACAATGTAAATTAGCGACCTCTCAGCTGCTTTAAATAAAAAAAACTGTCACCGATTGATTCATTGATTGATTTGCTCGCCGCAGGAAGCCAGGAAGCTGCCCAATTTAAAACGGACACCCTCGCGCCAAGCGACCGACAGCGCGTGACGAGGGGACGTGGCTTCTAAAGAGGCCGTGCTGTCGCCCGCCGGCCATAAACTCACCCCCCCTCTCAACTCCCCCCCGCCCGTTCCTCCCCTCCGCACCACGGCACCAGGTCCGCCGTCCTCTGCCCGCGTGCTTCTCTGCTCGGCCATGGCGGCACCGTCCGTAGCCGCGTGGGTCGTGCTGGCGACGGCGGCGACGCTCGTGATGTCACACGGGTTCAGCGACATCGAGGTTCACCCGTCAGCGCAGCACCAGCAGCAGGGTAGGCTGCCCCCCCCCTCCCTCCCCCCACTGCTGCACCCCCCACACCACAAGGGAACACGTTCGCCCGTCTGTCCGTCACTTCACAGTCTGGAGACAATGTTACCGCCGCACACCGAGCCAGATGCAGGTACGGTCATGTACGTTTGTTCAACTTCTTTCGCGCCGCACGTAGCCAACCCGTGGTGCTGCTGTGCGATCCAGGGAGTGGTGGATCACGCGGAGATTGATCGGCGTGCGATGGCGCAATGTTTACTGCTGGCTGGCCGTCGAACAAAGACAGTCACCGCACCGCACGCTTTCAGGCGCGCGCTCCTGTCTGGAACGCCCTTCCTTTTGATATGAGGAAGCCACTGGAGCTATCGAACTTCAAATCTAGGTTGCAAACTCAATTCTTGCGAACTGCTTTTTGTGTTTGGTTTGTTGTCTTTCCACCACACCTCCGATTAGCACGGTTGGCTTCGTACGGTGCGAAAAAAGTCCAACATACGTACTGACAGACCTCTGACGTGTCCAGTCTTTGACGATACAGCAAGTAGGTTGCGAACACATCTGTGCATATTTTGTGTTATAAGCTTGTGCACACGACTTTTCCGTGGGAACTACAGTACAGTTTTCTCTGACACGTAAAATGCCTACAGGAAGTTCGTGGGCAGGTAAAGGCGGCATGGTGGCGAGATGTTATCTTGCTCGTCTGGTACGCGGGGAAATGTGGGTTCGATCCTGACCCTGACGACGACGCCTGTATATTTGGAGCTTGCGTGTTTCCCCTCTCCCTGTGGTTGCGGCCGTTTTTTTCCCCCCGGATCTCAGGTTTTGCCCGCCACACTCAGAAACAAGCGTCTAGATTATTTGGCTGCTGCTATAAATTCCCACACGTGTTATGATAATCGATGATATACGCCACTTCGATGAACGTGTGGGGAGGTCGCCTCTGGAAAAGAGTGACGAGCTCGGTGGGTTTTACCGGGTAAATATTGAAAAAAAAAGGTTATCCATAGGAGTTTTTTTTGTGTTGAACCACGTAAATTACTGTTCTGGGTTCACTCTCCAACACACCGGTATGCTGGACTGGTAACGAATTGGCATTTTTGTTGACGTGACGAACCTTATCAGTTGGCTATGCCGTGTGAAAGCCTATGTGTTAAATCAAAAAAAGTTACATGTGGTAGAGTAATGTGTGGGTCCGTTTCAGCACGACATCTCGCCAGTGTGGAAGAGTAGGCCAAACACACTCTAGCGGGGGGGGATCTCTAGAACTCGCTCTAGTGGAGGCCGTTCCGTCAGCAGTGGAGCGAGAAAGCAATTGTCAGGCTGCGCTTTTGCCTTATATTTTTTTCTATCAGTTTCCTCCAACATGTAAAATTCTCATAGTAAATGGAAAAACACCAATGATGACTTCCCAGTACGTGGAAGTTAACTCCCTTTTAACAGGGGTCTTCTATGACCCAATCAATCTGATGTGCCAGGGCTTGTTAGATCTGAAAAGCTAAGCGGGAATTATTTGCCTGGTAAATACTGGCATGAAGTCACTGCCAATGGGAATGCCGGGCACGGGGATGTAAGGTGGCCAGGAGATTGAAGCACAGTAATGGATTTAAGGGATCTGAGCGGAAATTTGATTGTTATTAAGAGTATTTCTCCGGGCACTCTGGTGTTCTCCAACATGTCAATAATCTTGAATGACAATTGGCAAACATCTCCACACAGGACCCTCCTGATAATGAGTCTTGAGACCCAGCGAGGCTGCACTGGATAAAAAGTCATAATTTAAATGACCGAAAAGCCGCGTTTAACAGGCTCGCGCTTGAGGATGTCTTGCGCATGTAAAACCCCGACTGTAAATAATTAATCGCGCACATTACATTTGCAGGCACTCGAAGAGCGTTAGTAATTCGCGGAAATATTTTAAATAGCGAGTCAGGGTTACATTTAAAATCGTTAACGACTTCCTTTAAAATGCAGTTTTTTTTTTACCGCACACAAAGTGAATGTCACGGAGCTGTTCTTGATTAGAATCCAGTGCAAAACACGCGATTCGTGCATTTCTCTATGAAGCCAGTGACCCGAGGCCCACCCACCTCCACCAACCCACACGGACCAGCGTGGTGCAGTATGGTCAAACAACCCCCGTGACCAACACGGCATTGGTGCCTTGTTCCAGCAGTGGGTTTGACAAAAAGGGCTGCAGATGATATTTGATAATTCGTTTAAAACAGATACAGAAATAATTAATGTGCAGCTTGGAAATGTCCCCTCCATGCAAATAAATATTTTATATGTTGCAATTATGGAATGTTGTTAGCGGTACACATTGAACACCTGTCACAGCCCAGCAACACTGAGTCATCTGGAGTGTGACTCACCCATCACTCTCCCCACTCTCTACCCAATCGTTTTTTCTGATTATTCACTCGTAAGTGGAAAATGGTCCCCCGCACATTTTTTTTTCCAGCCCTTGTTTCACTGCCAGAGGAAACACTTAGACAGCCACACTAATACCATCCGCAATGAGGTTGAAAGCACTTTTAATGGTTCTATAACGAAATAAAAATTATTATTCATAACCTTATTGTGCCAATTTACGAACTGATTGAAGACCTCCCCCATTGCCGTGTCGGTCATGCGGCAAGGCCACGGGAGAGTACCGAATGGATGATCCACATTTTTCATCCGTACTGCAGGTCCCAGGACTGGATCAGACATATCTCGCCGCGGCTGGGAAATTAGCTCACTTCACTGGGTTTCACGGCGCACTGTGATAACCACTGCAGCAGCAAACACACCACCCTCCCTGCCCCAGTAACCGAATTATTCCGATGCAAATGCGACCAAAATAATGATCGCCAAATTCTGTGGATGACTAACGCCATGGTTCAAGCAGGCGCGCTTCTGAAGACAGGACCGAACGTGACCTCTCATGTTTAACACGTAATAGGCTTTCGCGACCAATATTATTCATAATCAACGTTTTTGGGTTTAGATCGCGTTATTTATAAATGTTGTGGTTTCACGCTTCAACACACCGGTGGGCTAAAGCAGTGAACTATTTGTCTTTTGTCAACGTGACACTTTTTTGCTGATTGGCCGTGTCGTGTGGTGGAGGGTTACGACACATTTATAAATAACGCGATCTAACCCAAAAACGTTGATTATGAAGTGACCTCTCATGATCTCCTTTTGTCCTCCGAACGTCTGACTTTGTGAATTAAACGCACTCTTAACAATTTGGCTCATACACTACTTGTGTGAAAACTGTGCACACGTGCAACACAACTCACCAGGTTTCAATTGATTTATATTAACTGTTTAATAGTGTTCATTTGGCCACTCGAACAGTTTAAGGCACTCAAAAACATGCAATATGATCTCCAACTATATGCATACAATATTTCTGCTTTCTGTACAATCTGATATGTCAGTCTTCCATGTAGGTTTTGAAGTGTTGACAACGAATGCAGTTATTATTTTATCTGTGCTCGGCCACAAATGCCAACGGAGTTCCTGATTACAAATATTTTTTGTAACTTTTAAAAAACAAATCTGTTGTTATTTTGTGGACGGCCAAGACAGCGGTGGAGTGCAGCGACAGCCATCGTTGCGCCGTACTGACGTTGAACTTCTTTCGCGCCGTACATAGCCAACCTTGCTCATCGAAGTTGCTGGGGGAAGGACAACAAAAACAATCGCTAAACAAGCCGTTCTAAAGTACTTCTCAGCGCAGGACGCCACGTCTGGGCTCCCCGACTTCACGCCGAGCGGCCCCGGCCTGCTGAATCTGGGTCCCCGTAAACCCCCACGGGCCGACAACAGAAGTGGGCGAGGAGGCCCTCATCCAGCAGTGGATGATGACAAACGTGCTTCACCCGTGCCAGTTTGAGATCGCAAAGGCAATAGATTCCCCCCGTATATCCCGAAAGAGACTGTTGGGTCAAGCGCTGTTAGCGTGCACCCATGAAGGTCGGCACGGTACACGAAGGGGCCGGGTGGCCAGCAAGCCACGCCCGGACTGCCTTCGTCTCCCCAGCGGTGATGCTCACACACTGCACCACCCGTCTAAGGCTGAGTTGACCTCAAAGAGACTCAGGATCGGTTCAACTTATTTCGTCGGCCGTGAGCGTGAACCGAACGGAGGTCGCCAGGTTCGTGTCGCCCACCGCTACGCCGCCGGGGACACGGACACACGCAGGCGCGGTGTGCGAGGAAATGTGTACCCCCTCCCGCTCCCACCTCCGTGTCCCGTGCGTCTAGAATCTCGGGGGGTGGAGCGCTTCCTCAAGCCGGGCCTGGGCGCCTCGGTGCTTCTGCTGGAGCCCGAGCGTGGAGCGCTGTTCGTGGGGGCGCGTGGAGCCGTGCTGCGTCTCACGGCCGCCAACGTCACGTCCAAGCCCAGCCTCGTGGTAACGCAGCTCCACCTGTGACACATCGTACAGCTCCACCTTTCACATCTGCAGTCGCCAGTCTCGGGTGGAGCACTGCTCAGAAGGGCTCCACAGAGCACCGCCCTCGGCGGTGGCGTCCGCTTGGGTGTGGGACTCCTGCTCGGATTTATAAATACGGCTGCCACCAACTCCTAGATCTGATTAGCACGGTTGGCTACGTACGGTGCGAAAGAAGTCGGCTCTACGTAGGCTGCAAAAAATAAGTTCAACGTGCATACGTAAAAAGGCTAGCAACGTTCATGAGGCTCAACCAGGACACATTGGTGAGCTGGCAGCCACTTCCTCTGTCAACCTGTCTGTTACACAGCCACGACCACTGGACTACTGCTCACTAGGCCTTGCCTACTTACCAATCTGCCCACCAACAAAGACAAAGATGCCCCCTATAGCCTTTAACAGACTGTTGCGGGAAGTGCTGTTAGCGAGTAAGACCTATGACGGCCGGCATGTTACACGAGGGGGTGAGTGGCCAGTACCACGCTCGAACCGCCTTCGTCTCCTTACACACCGCACCAGGTACTCATTTGAGGCTGAGTCGATCTAGAGAAGGCCCAGGACAGGTGAAGATAATCTCCACTGGTGTTGGCCGTGAACTGTGATCGAACCTGGGTCGCGGGGTTCGTAGCGTAGCGCGCTCACCACTACACCATTGCTACTCCCCGGGAGAACGAGAAGACAACTCGAGGCCACAAGCGAGCGTGCCCCCCTTTGCCGTGTGCCCACAGATCCCTTGGGAGGCGAACGATGCCTCCAAGCAAGACTGCCGGAGTAAAGGCAGGACGGAGGTGAGTCAGTCCCTCGCCAACGCAGCCTCCGAGGTTCATCCGTACGTTGGACACTGGCACCAGAGACAGAGTCGTACCCCTACGACGCAGGCAGCATCGTATATTGGGTATTTATAATTGTAAAAAATATTTATATTTTTACTTACCCTATTACTTTGTGAATGCAGCAATTAATGTAATTTATTATCTCAATATATTTTTTTTATGCGCCCCCTGACACCCGCCTCCCCGTCCCCTATTAATGCGATTCCGTGCCCATGATGAATCTGCTGCCGAGAACCAGCGTTTAGTTAACTGGGCGTGTTTGGGGGGAAGCCGAGAGAGACTTTTCGCTGGTGTGGTGTGGTTGGCATGGGCCCTCGTGCAAGGAATTCAGAATCGGAATATTTATTTGTACTGCAGGAATCCCATTAGCTATACAGTAAAGCTCTTTTTCACAGATGTCCAATTCAATGGGGCTCCGAATCTTCAATTCCCTCCCTCGTCTAGTTCAGCCACTGGGCTCGTTACAGCCCGTAGGGACTTGTGCAGCTGCACCGCCTACACACTCGGTAGCCGAAACTGTTAATGTTTTTTTAAGTGGGAAAAAGCCAGAGACTAAGATGGACATAAGCAATTGTAAATGTAGCCAGGAGAATGGTATACCAACGTTATAGCCAGAGCTTCATTTCAATTGTATCTGTACCCGGCCACACTACGTCTAACATACCCCTAACTAAAGCTCTGGCTGCTTGCCACGTGCTTATTCACAGAAAAAAAATAAGCCCTCGTTATAGCCACAGATGAAAATCATCAAGCACGACGACTACAACTACCCACGACTGACTGCGAGATTAAATGAACGAGTCTAAATTAAATTTAGATTTAAAGCTTTCGTGACTGCAGGGATTCATCTTCTTGGTTCTTTCGATAAAGTCACGTAGAAGGGAAATAATAAAATAATAAAAATAAAACATAATAAAATACAATTCTCACAATTGAGAATTGTATTTTATTATGTCTAAATTAATAGGCAGACTAAGATGATGTCACAACGTTATTCGAGACCGAGATAATTCCACGGACCACAGAGTGAAATATAATTCGTCGACTAGCCCAAGACTTTTCGATTTAAAGCTTTCGTGACTGCAGGGATTTCATCTTCTTGGTTCTTTCGGTAAAGTCACGTAGAATGGAAATAATAAAATAATAAAAAGAAAACATAATAAAATAATTCTCACGACGTTTCGGCCACAACGCAAGCAGCCGTCCTCAGGTGGAGAACAGGTCTGTCGAGGAGACAGCGTCTGAATATGAAGGGCGCCGACTAAATTGACAGCAGTCCCCGCGCGTCACCAACCCCGTGCTGGTGTTCCCGCAGGACGAGTGCCACAACCACGTGCGGGCACTGCACCTCAACGGCTCGCGCCTGCTGGCCTGCGGCACCGGCGCCTTCAGCCCTGTGTGCGCGCACTTTGTGAGTGAGAACACACACGCACGAATATATCGGTGCCCGTGATCGCTGTGTTGAGTAACCGCGTGTGGCTGCGGTGGGCGACGGCGTGTGGTTGCGTTGGGTAACCGGGGGACGGTGTTGCCACGTGCCCGTTGAATTTCCTCACACCCAGGACCCAGAGAGCGGCCATGCGTTCGGCACGGAGAGCGGCAAAGACAAGTGTCCGTACGACCCGGCGCAGGCGTTCTCCTCCGTGCTCGTGGGTGAGAGCATCTGCTGTGCTTGCCTCCTCTTCCCCCGACATCCGCCCCACTGCGCCGATTTAAACTCTAACCAGCCGCCCATTCCACTGCCCAGCCCCACCCCCGACCGGTCTGCACCGTGCCCCGAGTCGTTTGCGCGCTGCTGCAGCTGCTGTCTCGCTCGTTCGTCACGCTGGGGGGGGACTTGACAGCCGATGGACACACCAATAATTCTAGACTGAGCTTCGCTCTTCCGTCGCCCTTATGCCACTGTCACTTAATGGAGTCACCATGCCCCGTGATTTATCGCCGATTAATGGCCATGCGTGTGGGGAGTGTTGGCGCAGTTATTAGCACGCTGCGGTATGAACACAACGACCATAGTTCGCTTCCCATCTTTAACTAACTGCATTGTTGAGTGACACGTGACCAACCCGTTACTCACCAGCATGGTGAAATAGTGTGTGTTGAAACGACCCCGGAGGCCCACCGCTAACTTCCACAATGCCGTTGGTTCGTGCAGATGAGGACCTCTACTCGGCGACCATGAGGGATTTCCTGGGAAGGAACCCAGGCATCTGCCGCAGCTCGGCTTCGCAAACCCTCGTCCGCACGGAGGACTCAGCCAAGTTTCTCAGGAGTACGCCGGCACCGCCTGTCCATCTTTTGTAATCTCTTTTTTGTTGTTTTCCATGACTCGCTGGTACCATTGTTTCAAAAACTACAGGGCTGCTAACGGCCGGCACCTATGATCTCAATGCGGCAACGAATGCTGCACCGCGTCTATGCCCGTTTATGCATCGCAACATGTTTGGGAAACATCAGGCCAGCAGTTGGCCCGCCTGTCTCGAATTAAATCAGCTCTGTAGAAGAGTATGGACGGTTATCTGTCAGGGCCAAACACGTTTGCAAATAGTTATCTTTTTTAAAATATATTTCGCAAGTATTGGTGAACTCTTTGATCAATGTGGCTGGTTTTTAATAGGTCACATGCCTCAAAGCAATTATTTCCATCCATCCCTTTGGGTTCATGCAATAATCTCTAAAAGAACCTGCCACACACATCCGAGCCACCTCAGCTCCAGGCCTACAACAAGCTCTGTTGGTCATCCACGTACATAACCCGACTCAAACCTGCTTGGCTTAGGAGGTCCGATGAGATCAGGTGCATTCAGGGTGGTTACATGCATCTCAGATAGGGCGATAAAATCAGCTCCTGTGCAGGGGCTGATTAAATTGTTGCATTTCTGGGCCACGAGCGGTGGCGATGGCTTGGGGCGGCCTTCATCCCGCAGAAGATAGGTCATGGCTGATGATAATGCAGGGCCATTGAGGGCTCCATGGAGATTAATAGGACGCTCTTGAAATGTAAACTAAACTATTTTTTTTTATTTACCCGGTAAGGCCCCACTGAATTGTATAGCTTTTTGTCATAAACGACCTGGCCACAAATGATAGCTCAACAAAGTGGCTTATCGCGTGGAAATTTATAGAAACCAAATACTCTAAATGCATGTTTCTAAATGTGGAGGCAAAAGCCGGAGGACCCGGAGAAAAATCCACGCGACCACAGGAAGAACATGCAAACTCCAAATACATACAGCAGGCGTCAGGGTCGCGGATCGAACCCACGACCTCATGTATACCAGGCGAGGTAATTAACATCTTGCTACCGTGGCCTCAACTGGAGGACAAGTGCCTTCACTCCTCGAATGCCGAATACCCGTTTTAACAAACATTCGCAGGTCCCCTCATAGAAAACAAACAAACTTGCGGGACCCTACTACGATGACATTGAGAGTGGAGATTGAAACAAACGTTCTGCGTGCTCCACCCGGGCGCGGGGGACTCTACGTTACAGATCCTGCCTTTGTGGCCTCGGAGGTGGTGGAGCCCGGCGAGGGAGGGGGCGGCCGCCACGTGTACTTCTTCTTCACCGAGACGGCCATGGAGTACGACTACATCTTCCAGCCGCGGGTGGCGCGCATCGCTCGTGTCTGCACGGTGGGTCATCCCCACCCAGCCACCCCACACCCTATTGGTTCCAGGTCCCAAACAAAACGTGAAACACTCGTTGACCCCTCTCTTTTTTTGAGAGAGAGGTTCTGTGTTTTATCTCTCTCTCAAATTTAGCATTCTCAGGAAGAACGTAATCAACCAGGTAGGGTGTTGACTGTTATGTTATCCGACTCTCTGTTGTATTACATTACATGTATAACTATACTAGATTTGTGTTTCTATTTCATTTTACCTGATGACGATTGCTTGTGTTGCAATCGAAACGTCGTATGCTAGTATTTAATTTATTACTTTCTCTTTATACGTGACTTTACCGAAAGAACCAAAGAAGAATATATACATTGTCTCTTTGTTCGCCTTTTGGCGTTCTCTGGTCTGACACTGGTGAGGCTAGGCCCTAAAGAAGGCCGATGTCTCTGGTGTGGTGTCGGCCAATCAGTATCAGAGCATGCTTGTTTGCATGTTCACCACAAGCACCGGATGTCCCGCCTGTGCGCAGGGGGACAGCGGCGGGCAGCGCGTGCTGCAGAAGAGGTGGACCTCCTTCGTCAAGCTGCGGCTCGAGTGCTCGGTGGCCGAACTGCAGCTGCCGTTCAGCATCCTGCGCGACGTGTCCACCCTGCGTCCCGCGCACTCCGGCGGGCACGGGGACAACAGCGACGGCGACATGCGCTTCTACGCCCTGCTCTCCTCGCAGTGGTGAGGCCCCGCCGTGACGACTCGTGCCCGGGTGATGTCGGAGTCCATTCTTTACCTCGCTGATCTCGTCGAGGAGTGTAAACCATCGCGCGACACTCCGGTCATCCTCGCAGCGGCAGTGGCTTTTTGGCTGCTGGCCATCGAACAAAGACGATCACCGCATCGCACGCTTTCAGGTGCGCTTCTGCGGCCGTCTGGAATGCTCTTCGTTCCCATATTAGGAAGCTACTGGAGCTATGCACTTTCAATCACCTAGATTTTAAGCTCATTTCTTTAGAACTGAGTTTTGTATTTAGTTTGTTGTCCATCCCCCGCACCTCCAATTAGCGTGGTTGGCTACATACAGTGCGAAAGAAGTTCAACATACATACACACATTCAACGTCGATACCGCCATCAAAAGCGGCCGAGTTGAGGGCAGTCGGACCCAGTCGCCAAGCTAGGCGAGGCACGGCCAGCCTTGATGGTAGGCATACCCCTTCATGATGATATAAGTCAAAATGGGGAATATTAATTTGCTGTGCAGTGCAAATGTGTTATTGATTATACTTCAAAGGGCCACCTGCATTTGGAACTCCGCAAGCATTGCTTCGTACAAACACATTAACGGCTAGCCTCACTCCCAACTTGCTGTCATGTTGTGCGCTATTCCCATTGCGCTATTGGCACCACGTCTCGATAACCCATCAACATTTAATTGCAGAGCAGTACAATTCCTCGTGCTAGAGGATATTCCATGCAAGCAGATAACGTAGTGCTACCTCTGAGATCCCTTCAGGTGGCCTCCGGTCTACACAATAGAAGGCAGGACTGTTCCCAATCTACTCTGCCATGTGAGCCTCACATTCATCACATGGCAGTGAAACCAATATTTACATTCTCAGAGCTGCAATTTGGCCAAATTAAGGAGGCAACCAATTTTATGTTTTTTCAGGGTAGCCATTGATGACCAGGCTGACACCATCAACTCTGCGACCCTTGAGAATTCGGCTTAATTGCAGGATCGCAGCAGTGCCGGCTCAGCACCTGACCAATTTTCCCAGCTTCGACTCCAGTGTCTCTCCCTGCGCTGCCCCTCGCCCCCCACTATTTCCTTGCATTTCCCAGCAGCCGTCTCTGTTTCCCTGCAGGGGAGACCTCCCGTACTCTGCCGTCTGCGAGTACACGCTGAGCGATGTGGAGGAGGCCTTCGCTCGGCCGCCTAAAAGACCGTTCACCATCGGGCCGGCAGGCTCCAGCAGGACCGTCACTCTGAGCCCCGGCACGGTAAGCTCGCCGCCACCGCCGCCACCGCGACCTCCTTACGCGGCGGGGAGTAAGTGGGGTCATCGCTCGCCCCGCCTCCAACTCAGCCACGGCTCCCGTGGTGTAAATTACGTTTACGGAATTAGTGACGAAAATATCCATCAACGTTTTGTTTGTTTGAGTCGACGGTGACCGCGAGTCGAGCGTGACGATGACTACGGCGACTGCCGCTGCTCAACGGAGACCAGAGCCACGATTGTGAGAAGGCGAAGTTTACGAGTCTGAACGAAGATGCCTGCCGAGATGACCTGGTGACATCGACTGCGGTGCACCGACACAGAGACCGAGCATAGTAAACGGCTACAGACGTATATTAACACACTTCAATGAGTTCACCGATTGGCTGACTTGACAATACTGGGGGTAGAAGTTGCTTGACCCACGCACCAACATTTAAACAACTAAGATGAAACTGCACGTTTGACAGCTTTCGTAGACTGCACTAAGGGAATTATATTATATGCTTGTGCATGATGGTAGCAATACGCGAGCCACGAGAGGGCTTCAAGAGAGAGTTTGTGTAGTTTTCCCTTTCCTCCATTACAGGAGCGCATACCACAGTGGTTTACCTTCACGTAGTTTGGGTTTCGTGGCAACAGTTACACTGCGGCCTTTCTTAAATGATCTGTTCGTAAAAGATGTGCGCATCGGCCTGTTGATGTTTTGATACAGTCGATAGTTCCACCAGTGTCTACGAGGATGAATATCAAAGCCAGGAGGTGCAACATTTGTGCCTCGAATGACATGTTCCTTCTGGATAGTCCGCGTTCTTCCACGATTATTCGCTAGCGTTCTCCCGGATTCGGGGCGAGATTCTAGGACGGTGTCAGCGCGAACCCCGAAAGGGGGCAATCGGCACTCGAGTTGGCAGCGAGGCCCATGGCCGAGGTCTCGCTTGACGGGTGAGTGGTTGTCGTGGGTAAGGAAGCGCGCCAACTCCCCCGTCCCTCTCTCTCCGCGCGACAGTGCATCACTCCCAAGCTGAGGGCTCTCGGCATCGAGTCGTCCCAGGACCTCCCGGACGACTACCTGGCGTGGATGCAGGACCACCCGAGGCTGCAGGAGACGCTGCGGCCTCGCGAAGGCCTCCCGCTGCTGCTGAGCCGCAGCCACGCGTACACGAGGGTGGCGGCCGCCACGGCAACCGCGCTGGACAACCGCACGCACCTCGTGCTCTACCTGGGCACGAGTAAGTGCGCCGCCGGCATTGACGTCACGAGCATCGGCGGTGCTCTCGTCGGCAACATCACCGCCACCGTTAACCAACGCCGGCATCACTGCCGTCGTAGCAACCATCATCTGCAAAAATCCCCATGAATCATCACCACCTCCGCAATTACTACCGTAACCATAGAGCATCGCCATAGATCACCACTACTATCACCATTGCTAACACCACTGTCGTCATCATCATCATCATCATCATAACTTCCATCACCAACACCATTAGCACATCACTATCAGAGCTATCACCACTATCACCACTACCATCATCATCACCACCTCCTTCACTATCACCAACATTACCATCACCGCCACCATCACCAACCCTGCCATCATCATCACCAACTCCACCATCCTCATCACGACCATCACTGCCACCGCCGCCGTGACCCCTCACCGTGCGCATCTGTGTCGCTGTGCCAGGAAACGGGTCGTTACACAAGGCGGTGCGTGTGGACGGGAAGACTCACATCGTCTCACAGACGCAGCTCTTCGCTCACAACGAATCCATCCTCAGCATCGTCGTGTCAGCCAGCACGGTACGGCCGGGAAACATGGAAAGAATGGTCCGAGCTCATCGTCATTGTCACCGTCACGATCATCATTGTTGCTGCCATCATCACGTTCTGTGTTGTCTTGCCGTGTGTACGCATGCATGCACGTGCTGGCGGTGGTGCTGTGTGCTGTGTGTGCCTCTGTGTACAGGGCACGCTGTACGTGGCGGTCTTGTCGCATACGGCTGTGCCATGTTCTGTTCTGTGCTGTGTGTGTGTATCCTGGTGGTAGATCAATGTGTTGGGACCGCTGTGCATGCTGTGCGTACAGACCATGCTATACGTCGCATCCTTGTTGGGTACGGCTGTGCCGTGTGCGTGCTGTGTATCCTGGCGGGTGGGGGTCAACGTGTTGGTTCTGCTGTGCGCGCTGCGCCCGTGCTGTGCGTACAGGGCACGCTGTACGTGGCGGCCTCCTCGGGCGTGGCCCAGCTGTCTCTGCACGGCTGTGCCATGCACGGGGGCTGTGAGCGCTGCCTCCTGGTCCGAGACCCCTTCTGCGCCTGGGACACATTGCGATCCCTCTGCACGGCCTTGCGAGCAGGGGACTCCCCACGGTGACCCCCCCTGACCTCCGCCCAGTCCGGCACAACACCCACACGCACCCTTGGCTCCTAATTTCATTGCATATCATTCCGTTCACTTTTCCCAAATTACATTTGCATTGGCTAAGCTGATATATTTCCCAGCGTATTACAATTCAATTCGGAGTACACGCGCTTCCGTACATTTAGTGAATTACGTTTTTTTTCATTAATACATTTATTAGTGATGTTATGGAAATAAGACATTTCCACATTCAGAACTCTGTAACCCTACATTGCATCACCCAGTGTCAGATAACGTTTCTAGAAGATGATATTTCAGATCGAGCTCTTGAGGTCACTTCGATCGGCGCCCTCTACCCACACACACTCGGGACAACCCTGGGTGCCATGGTGGCGAGATGTTAACTACCTCGCCTGGTATACAGGAGGGCGTGGGTTCGATCCCGACCCCTATATATTTGGAGTTTGCACGTCTCTCCCCATGGTCGCGTGGATTTTTGTCTGGGCCCGCCGGTTTTTCCCTCCACATTTAGAATCAAGGCGCGGTTAGAGTAATTGGCTGCTATACATTTCCACGTGATAAGCCATCTTCGTTGAGCTATCATTTGTGGCCAGGTTGCTTCTAAAAAAGATCTATATAGCTCAGTGGGCCTTACTTGGTAAAATCGAAAATAGTTTTTAACCTTGTATCTGCCCTGAAAAGGGTGTTCATTTCACACCAATCAAACTGAAATGTTTTAATCTCAAATATGGAATGTCGCCATCTTCAGTGACAATCCAAATGACACGTCATGTTTTGTGTGCAGTCGTTGGTGATGGGGCTGAATAATATTAAGCACATATTACGAATGCCTCATGTATCTGTATGATGAACATGTGCCACTGTCTTGTACAGCATCTTGAGATGCAGTTGCATTTTGATGCATAGGATTCGAAATTTAAATGTTTATTTTTCTATTATTTCCATCCAAGGCTTTCCATCAGATTCTTCGGCTTCCTCCCACATAGCTGAAACAAAGGCAAGCGATGTAACCAGTATTGGCCAAACGTCGCATTGCTAAAAAAATCACCTTCAAATTACTCAATTGGGATTACAGCAGCAGCATCGCTCTCATACAGCTAAAACCTTTGGCAGGACCCTCCTGTAAATTATTATTTGAGACTCAGTGAAGCTCTACTGGGCGAACGAGCACAATCATAATAATGAGTATTGAATCAGACTCTTTATTTAGACTGCAAGAGGAGTCCCATGCGATGTGAAGTTATTTTTCACCAATGTTCAGTCAGGGCAGGTCAGCACTGTAGAGTGAATAACTGGGGTTGACTCCTCGGATGAGTCTCCTCTTACGCAGTCACTGCCGGTCCCTTGTGATGACTGCACACACACCGATTCATTCGGTCAGACGCCGCCGAAGAGCTTATCCATGTCATTTTGATGAACTCGTCTTGGTTTCCGCGTTCACAGAGAGCTGCTTCAGAATCTCACGATGATGGAAAGCGACGTCGGTCTCAAGTGTGGCAGGAGAGGAGGTACGCACGTCCACACCAGCCGCAGTTCCAGTGTCACAGAATGTATGTTAAATTTCGATTTAAAGCTTTCGTGACTGCAGGGATTCATCTTCTTGGTTCTTTCCGTAAAGTCACGTAGAAGGGAAATAATAAAATAATAAAAAGGATTTAGAAAACAAAGTTTTTCACTATAAATCCTTTATATGCGTGGCGGCTAGAGTCCTCTCGTCCTCAGGGTCAGATGATTGTCTGCCACAATTAAGCAATTGGTAATTAAATATTTTAAAAAATTTCCCTAAACAGTGTAAAATTTTGAAAAAAAAATCATGAAAATTAATTGTCAAGCACAACGAGTCTGTGTGCAAAATGTCAGCTCGATTGGATCACGGGAAGTGGGTTAACAACAACCGAAAGATTTGCACGGTCCTAAGCAAGCAAGCAAGCAAGCGAACTTAATATAAAGGATTTAAAAATAAAACATAATAAAATAATTCTCACGACGTTTCGGCCACAACGCAAGCAGCCGTCCTCAGGTGAAGACCAGGTCTGTCGGGGAGACAGCGTCTGAAATGACCTGGTCTTCACCTGAGGACGGCTGCTTGCGTTGTGGCCGAAACGTCGTGAGAATTATTTTATTATGTTTTATTTTTATTATTTTATTGTTTCCCTTCTACGTGACTTTACCGAAATAACCAAGAAGATGTATGTATGTTGTTTGTATGTATGTTGTTTGTATGTATGTTGTTTGTATGTATGTTGAACTTCTTTTGCACCGTATGTAGCCAACTGCGCTAATCGGAGGTGCAGGGGAAGGACAACAAACTAAACACAAAAAGCAGTTCTAAAGAAATGCGTTTTCAATCTAGTTTTAAAAGTACATGGCTTCCTAATAGTGGAAGGAAGAGCGTTCCAGACGGCCGCGGAAGCGCATCTGAAAGCACGCTATGCGGTGTTCATCTTTGTTCAATAGCTTGGCAAAAGCCGCTGCGAGATGGTGTATGCTTCTTGACAGGATCAGGAAGTTAATGCTGTGGAAGTTTGAGTAGATAGGCCAGATAATTTAACAGCAGTACCTTTTGTTTACAATCACCATCATCATCATCATTTACAGCTCTTAGTCAATCCACTGCTGGATGAGAGCATTTCCAGAGCATCAGGATTTTCTGAGTTTTAACCATACTTCACCACACCGGACAGTACAGGATGGTGAACGTGTTCCATTCGTTATAATTGTTATAAAGAACAAAATTAGAAAGTTGTGAGTTCGAATCTGGTGGCAGGCGACTCAGCTAATAATTCCAATGCAGTCAATGAACATTACGTGGGAAGTCAACGGTGGTTGTTCCCATGGACAGACTGGCTCCCGCCATAGTAACGGGGACATCGCGCCACTGGCTCTGGAAGGGCCACCAGCGGACAGAACGCCCGATAAACCGCAAGGCTACCGGCCGAGCTGGCATTCATTATCAAGACACTCGACACGCTCACCGCTCGCGCTGCCCAATAACGCGAAATGTTTAGGGCGCCGATGTTCCAGTGGCCCGGAACATTGGGCTGGAGTGGTGGATTGGTGGCACGGTGGTTAAGCTGGTCAGCAATGGTTCGCGGCACTGCGCTATGAAGCCTGTGACCAGACTCTTGATTCCCCGGTCACGGCTAACATCGTGGCGATTGCGAACAGCTGGCCGTGCTGCTTTTAGGTTCTAAACTAAACTCTTTTTTTTATTTTACCAGGTAAGGCCCCACCGAGCTATGAAGCTCATTTTCAGACGTGACCTGGCTACCACAAATGATGGCTCAACGAAGTGGCTCGTCATCATCGTGTGGAAATTTAGAGCAGTCAAATACTCTAAACGTGTGACGTTTCTAAATGTGGAAAGGATCACGAGGTGAGAGACACGCAAACTCCAAATATACAGCAGCAGGCGTCAGGGTCGGGATCGAACCCACGACCTCCTGCCTACCAGGCGAGGTAGTCAACATCTCCTCGCCACCGTGTTGATGATGATGAGAGAGAGACGCAAACTCCAAATATACAGCAGCAGGCGTCAGAGTCGGGGTCGAACCCACAACCTCCTGCCTACCAGGCGAGGTAGTCAACATCTCCTAGCCACCGTGTTGATGATGATGAGAGAGAGACGCAAACTCCAAATATACAGCAGCAGGCGTCAGGGTCGGGATCGAACCCACGACCTCCTGCCTACCAGGCGAGGTAGTCAACATCTCCTAGCCACCGTGTTGATGATGATGAGAGAGAGACGCAAACTACAAATATACAGCAGCAGGCGTCAGGGTCGGGATCGAACCCACGACCTCCTGCCTACCAGGCGAGGTAGTCAACATCTCCTAGCCACCGTGTTGATGATGATGAGAGAGACACGCAAACTCCAAATATAGAGCAGCAGGCGTCAGGGTCGGGATCGAACCCACGACCTCCTGCATACCAGGCGAGGTAGTTAACATCTCATAGCCACCGCGGCACGGCGCCAGCACCTCCCCCCCCTCCTCTCGGTCACCGCCGTGGTTCCCGTTTTACAGGCGTTGCAGCTGCTGTCTCGCTCGCTCGTCCGTTACGCTTGCGAGAGAAAGTGACAGCCGGCGGGGAAGCGAGCAGTAATTCCAAACAACTTCGCCCTCCCCCACACACGGCTGTCCCTCAATGTCCCAGCGGAGTCTCCATGCCGTGCGACTTCATGCTGATTCACAGGGAGAGGCGGCGCAGTAGGTTATGGAGCGCTAGTTTGAAACCGCCGACCTAAGGTTGATTCCCGGACGCAGGAAAACACCGGTGGCGAGCGATGTCTAAACCGGTCTAGGGGCAACCAAGGCACACCGGCCCTTGCGGAGAAGTACGGTCGAACAACTGTTTGAGAACGACAGGTTGCAGTGAGGTCTTCAACCAGCAGCACTTTGACTTGCTGTGATGCTGTGACGGTTCCACCTGAAGACAGAGGCTTGTGTTGCCTCCGAAACGTCGTGATTTTTATTTTTATTTTATTTTAATTAAAATTTTTACCTACGTGACTTTACCGAAAAAACCCAAGAATATGAATACAGCAGCACATTGACAAAGGGGCTATACATTTAATAAAATGTGATGACCTTTAAAAAAATTAATGTGATATAAGCACCACCGCCAAGTCTCTCCCTCAATCTCTCGGTCGGCCCAGTACCGATCGGCATACTTGCTGCGTGCAGTGCAGAGACGTGTACAGCATCAATTCCATCACAATCACTGGTGCCATCACCACCAGGAGCCATCTGCAGCATTGTCAACAGCGCCCCGATCACAATCGTCGGCGTCGTCACCAGCCTAACCACCCCCCCACCCCCCTCTTTATATAATCATATTTATATTATAATTGTAATATTCATATTATTATTTTATTATTATGGTATCTAAATTAGTATCATTATTTATATTGTTTGTATTATTTTCTTATTCAGGTTATTTATTGTATATTATTTATATCATTATTAGATTACTTATACTACTATTTTGTTATCGTACTACCAATATTATTATTATATCATTATATTATTTGTTATTGTTGAAGGCTAATATTATTATTCTTAGGTTTTTTCGGTAAAGTCACGTAGGTAAAACATTAAAAATTAATAAAAATTCATAATAGTGATTTTTATTTTATTTTACTTTTATTAATTTTAATGTTTTACCTATGTGACTTTACCGAAAAAACCTAAGAATATGAATCCTTGCAGTCACGAAAGCTTCAAATCTAGAGCTAATATTATTCATATTTTATTTTACTGCTATAAATGTCCACATGATAAGCCACTTCGTTAAGCTATCACATGTGGCCAGGTCGCTTTTGAAAAAATATTTAATACCTCACTGCGCTTTTCCTGGTAAGATAAAAAGTTCGTTTCGTTTTATTTGTGCATTTTTAAAAAAAAGTAATTTGTTTACCTTTCCTAAACGTTGCACTCCTATTGTGTTTTTCTATTGTTTGCTGTTATAACCCACTGCACATCTGTAAAAGAAAAATAAAGAGCTTTATAGCTCATCGGATTCCTCCAGCCTAGACAAACATTCCGACTTTCTCGCCAGTGCCGAAGATGGGCCGGAGCATGGTGGCCTCAGGAGCAAGCGCCGACGTCGCGAACGCCGCCGCCGACGACGACGCCGACGGCCGCCGGCAGCCGCTGTCGAAGCGGCCCGCGTCGGGCCCGCTGCTGATCGCGCTGGGCGCGCTGGTGGCCGTGTCGCTGTGCGTGCTGGCGCTGCTCGCCTGCTGGTGCTGCCTGCGTCCGGGCGGCATGGCGCGCCGCCTGGGCAAGGGCGTGAGCCACGAGCCGCTGGACCAGCAGCCGCGCGGCAAGGGCGAGGGCGCGGCGACGAACGGGCACGCCGGCGTCATCGCCGCCGCCACCGGCGACTCCTCCTCATCCTCCTCCGAACGCGCCGTGAACGGCGCCACCGTCGTGGAGAGCGCCAACGGCGTGACGCGCGTCGCTCCGCTGGCGGGGGAGGAGGAGCTCCTCTAGACGTCGCCGTCGCTCAGAGTTTTTTTTTTTAAATCTCCGAAGGGTTTTAATTTATTTATTCCCCCCTCTTCTCTGCTTGGGAGAGTGGCAGACCTTCTTCACGGACGGGTGACAACGGCAGTGAAGTGCACTCAAGCCCGTCGCGGCGTTAAAGGTAAAAGTGCGGCCCTGCGATATGATGTCTCACGTGTCCCTCCCCCATCCCCCCCCCTCCCCCCGGCTGGTGGAAGTGCCTCCTCACACTCTCTGAAGGAGCTCTGAGAAAGCGCCTCCAGAGGCCCCTTCGTCTGCTAGTCCACACTGGCCCAACGTCTCCTGGAGGAGGAGGAGGAGACGTGAGTGCACACACTTCATACCCCACCGCACGCGGCCTGCCGGGCGTCTCGCTGCCGCGTGCCCATTCATGCCGGCGAGTGGACGGTGACGGTGGCGGAGAGGGGGCAGGGAGGAGGGGTCGGCTTCATGAAGTTGCCTCGTTGTTTCAACTGACGCGCCGTGAGATGCCGAGTGCGATGCCCGGAGCGTGACACTGCAGCAGCAGCAGCAGCGCAGCATGGAAGGGTCTGCGCGACATTGGGCTGCGGCTCGAGGCACCGCGAATGGAGGGAAGATGCGTGGATTATAACAACTTGGGAGGAAAGTGCTCAGGGAAAGTGTTCGATTTTTTTGGTTTTCACCACCAATCAGCCGGTGTGGTTGACCCGATGCCTTCACTTTCAAGAAAATGCTTCGGGTCTGAGCGTGCGCATCACTGCCCCCCCCCAAAAAAACCCAATGACTTGAAAATCCGTCGAGGACGGATAACGAAGAGGATCACCCACGTGACATCGACGACGATGATTTTCACCACAAGTCCCAACATGGTCCGTCCCTCTTAGCGCTCCGCACGATGCTCCCCTGCGCTCCACATGCCGACATCGATGCCGGCCAATTTGTGATCTATCGCCAAGTCCACATCTACCGGACACGCGTTCTGCACCAGCAGCGCTAGCAGGCAGCACATTCCGCACAAGGTCCCCGCGTCCTGCAGCGCTGCCTACTGCCCAGACATCAAATCAAAACCTTAAAATCTTCGCTTGCCACTGATGTCGGTGCATCTTCAAGGCTACGTTGCTCGCCGAACCTGCAGCGCAGCGCAGACAAGCAAGCACCCATCGGCACGCCCCGTGCGGGAAGGCACCGTGCGGCTGCCGGTCCCTTGAGCCGGGCCGCATGGGCGTTGGGGACACGGGCTCCGTGTCCGGAAGCCTCCCGTGGCACCAGCTCGAGTTGGTGCGCGCACGTCTTGATAGTCGTGTGGCAGCCGCCCCTCCCTTGGGCCTGGTGGCTCCTGCTGCTGCACCGTTTGGCCTGCTCTGTCCGGAGCTGTCTTCATTTCTCTCCAGCCATCTCCTTCTGGACGCTGCTCGCTTACTGCCTTTTCTCCTGCTGTCACCTGCTGTCACCTGCTGTCACCTGCTGTCAAGTCTTATCTGATGTGCCCTGCTTGTCCCGCCATATCCTTTTGCCCTTTGCTGTGTCGTTCCCGTCCTGCTGCACCCCTGCCATCCCGTCATTAACTGCACTGCTGTACCATGCTGCACCCTGCCATCCCGTCATTAACTGCACTGCTGTACCATGCTGCACCCTGCCATCACGTCATTAACTGCACTGCTGTGCCATGCTGCACCCTGCCATCACGTCATTAACTGCACTGCTGTGCCATGCTGCACCCTGCCATCACGTCATTAACTGCACTGCTGTGCCATGCTGCACCCTGCCATCCCGTCATTGACTGCACTGCTGTGCCATGCTGCACCCTGCCATCACGTCATTAACTGCACTGCTGTGCCATGCTGCACCCTGCCATCCTGTCATTAACTGCACTGCTGTGCCATGCTGCACCCTGCCATCCCGCGCTGTCTCCAACTCTCTCCTGCTGTCCTTTGCTGTAACCTGCACTAATCCCTGCCGTCCCTGGCTTCCTGGTGCTGCACTGCTGTTCGCCCCTTGCTGTTCCCTCTTGGGCCCCATGTAAACAGGGTATTCCTGGCCACCCAGTACGGCGCTGTTTCATCTGTCATCGATGCTTCTGTCTGATATTCTTGAGCCGGGGTGTATGTTTGCGCAACTTGGCGGAGGGTGGGGTATTTATCTCGCGACATGTCACGTAATGTATTTCGATGTTCGTTTAACTGTATTTATTTATAATTCGTTCAAAATGTTTCATTTCGGTGCCTTAGTTTGGGCTTCCCCCCACTTCTCCGAGCCCCCGTTTTGGGACCACCTCTCCGCACATTCGCCGCCGGTCGGCGGGGTTCAGGGGTCGCGGCGGTGAAGTGACCGCCCAGTAGTCGAAGCCGACCGCCGGCCCTCCCCGCGCCTCCGCCGCATGTCCCCCTGACCCCGCGCGGCGAGAGACCAAACAAAGAAACTTTGGGTAGCTGCGAAGTCGCTGAATGATTCGATCGCGGCTGGCAGCGCGCCACCGCACACTCGCGACCTCGCAGACTTCTGCGAGCGCTCACGCGGGCCTGCGGAGTGTTGATCGTGAACCTCGACTGTGAACGATGCTGCCACCCGTAACTGCGCGTGGCGACCTTTTGCTCCACGCGCCGGGATCTCCTTCAGGAGAGATTCAGTGATTTAGTTCCCGAAGACGCTCCCGGCACGTGGAGCGAAACGTCGGGCTTTAGGCCGAAGCGTTCGCGCGGTCACGAGCGGAACAGCGCATCGGAGAACGACGCAGCCGCCGCGTGACAGAAGCCTCCCAATCGTTCGTGCACGAGTTGCAGAACCGCGCCGGCGATGTGCAGATGCTGCACCCTCGAGCCCTTCGCCGTGGCTTTCCCCGACGCTTATTAAACGCGACCGCCGGGCGTCCTCCTCCATCGCGTGGGGGAGGAATCGGGTGGGCGGCTGAGTCACTCGAAGAGATTCACCTCGAGTTGGTGTCCTTTCGCTGAACCCGGGAGGCGATCGCACGCCGTGGCGGGGTCAGGGGTCGGGGCAGCCCACAGGCGCGCTCTTGGCCGGCGACGTTTCGCTCCGCCGCCTTTGTTGACGAACCCCAAAATTCTTCTTGGTCTCTTGAAACTGAGCTCCGGAAGCTGAATAGTCGCGAGGCGTCATTTCAACTCGACTGGCTACACAATGCCAATGACGTCACGGCACCGTTAATGAATTATATCTCTGTGACAGCGGGCAATGCAGTTTAGTCATAATAACACGTCCCATAATAATACTACCCATAATAACACTTCCCACACAGATAATTCTGGGGGGTGGAGGGGGAATTCTAAAGCTGTGATGTCACGCCTGGCCTTGGGGGAGTGGGCACAATTATCAAGGCCAACTCGGTCACACGGACGAGAGGAGGAGGAGGCACCAGATATTTGTGAACCTGGGGGAACTTTGTCGCTGTTTACACAATTTTTACACACGCGTCATACGGCATGCGAATATAACGAGCTTCACACGAATCGCTGATGCGCAGCACGTCAGATGTCGCGGCAAGTTATTATGAATCGCGAGTTATTTTTATGGAGCTACAGCCCAATTATTTGTAGTGTAACCTTCAACCGCTGGACACAGCGAAAACAAATATAAAAAATTGTCGCGCTCCGTACAAAGCGTCTCAACCACCGCAACTCTCACTATCAAATGTAGCAGCGATGAAATGTGCAACGTTTAGCCTTGGAACTGCGTCAAGCCATCCTCAGCAAGTGAGAATCACTGCATCACCTGGCCTGGATTTTTAAATAAGTGATCATGACCTCACGGGAATAACCCCGATTTCAACTGGATATGAACCATTACAAATGAATTTAATCAAATTTCATCCTAATTTATCCAGACCGACGATTAACATTATACGCATTTTTGCTCATTATAACTACTCACGAATATACTGTACTCGTAGCCTGTAGCAGAGTTTAGCTATATTGGTCGGTGCGGATTTGTGAAGGAGGCGATCATACAAGCGGGAGCATAGACATAGAGTGCGAACCAAGGAATTGGCTGCGTCGCCCCCTTGCTGTTCACCACGCCACCTCGCCCGTTGTTTGTGCACGGCGGTCACCTCCGCACGAGCACTCCCCAGCCTCGAGCCCTGCTTAGCTTGCGAGATCCGATGGGGCCGGGGCACATTCCGGGCAATTTGGTCACCCGGTAGGGGTCGGCACTCTGTGTACCTCCTTGCGGACCGCTTCGTGACGCCGTGCGACTCACGCACGCACGCGCACGCGCATTGCGGCTCTTGGGATATTGAGTACTGCACCGAATTCGAAAGGAAAAACTGTCTCTCCTTGTTATTTTGGTTGTCGAGCCCCACCGGTCTTAGGTCACATGGGGACTCGAGATTGAGGGAGGGGGGGTGGAAGTTCACGTCTGAACAGGGGTGCAAAATGGTACGAATAGTCGGGAATTGGCATCGGCTTCGCGTGTCCGTCTGTTGTGTTGGGCCACGTTTCGCGGTTGGTCACGTACGGTGGTGTGAAATAAGTTCACCATACATACAACATGCAAACATGCAACATACAAACATGCAACATACACACTGTTCATTGGTTGCATTTCCTGGCCTGTGCACCGAGCTCTCAAGAGGTCGGTGCGGAGTGGCCCCACTCGCCAACTTCCACTGCATGATACAGAAATGAAAACGTGTCGCCCTGTCTATGCATGCTTGCCCACCGTGTGTAACGCAAGTCAGGCCGCATTCCCCGATGTCACGCCGCTCATTCGATGATGTACATACTCGATGGGAGTTGTGCGTTGGTCGACCGCAAGCTACACGGACGTTTGCGGTGCATTCCGACTGCAGAGGACATCGTGAAAGCTGGACTTGTTTTTCGTATGAATTAATTTGCTGCCTTTTTTGTTCTCAAATCCAACGACCGCAAGCACCGTGGAACGAGAAGCCCGTTACGCGCGAGCGCTCGCTCGTGGGCGCGTGTCGTGGTGTCATCTTGTGGCTCAGACACGGAATGGAAGTGGAGTTGGTGTGGTTTTTGTGTGCGGTTGTGCTGGTGGTGGTAGTGTTGCCAGTTGTGCGCTGTCGTATGTGGTTGTGAAAGTAGATCTCCTGGTTGTTGTTGCTGTTGTTCATCTGCATTAAACATTCACGACGTTTGGAGTCGGCTCAAGGTTGCGTTTCCCACCTCCTCCCGAGTCACAGGAAGCTTGCGCCTAACAGCTTCACTATCCACGACGAAGGTTATTTAGGGTTAGATCGCGGACATATAAATGTGTCGTTAACCCACCGCCACCACCACCGCGTGACACAGACAATTGGTACCAATTAGTTCCGACTTCAGCACACCGGTGTGTTGGAAAGTAAATGATTGGCACGTTTTGCTTACGTGACAAATCTGACTAATTGGCTGCGTCGGTGGTGGCGGGTTTTACGACGCATTTATATATTTACGCGATCTTGACCGTGAATACTATTGCCACGTGTGAAACAGCTTCCTTATCCAGCAGCACGATGGGCGTGGGCCCCCAATGGGGCAAATGAGACGGGGCGATGCCCATGCACCAATTTCCAGCCACCCCACCCCCTCCACTTGCAGTTGCGCCGCCTTCGCCTTCGATATCCACGCCACATGTCCTACTTTATATAAAAGCCAACGAACTTGACATTTTGGGTTGACCCCCCCCCCCCCCGAGTCAGAAGTCACACGCGCAGGCGCAGAACACATCGCTGGATTGAAAACAAATGCGAGCATTGGCCACAGAACGAGAGAGGAAGTAGGCGACCGAGACACAGAAGGCTGCCAACTCACACGCACAGAGGCAACAAAGATCCACCGTACAGCCATCGTCAGACTTGGGGCAAGTGCTTCAGCAAGCACCGATTAAGGGATGGCACAGCGGGGCAACACCACGCATTTGTCTCCCCAGTGCTGATGTTTTACACACCACACCAGGTACTCATTTAAGGCTGAGTCGACCTAGGGGAGGCCCAGGACCGGTTTAGATATTCGTCACCGATGTTGTTGGAACAGAGGACACACTATCCGAGATACTCACGACCCTGTGGCCACAGAACAATGTACGTTGAACTTCTTTCGCACCGCACGTAGCCAACCGTGCTAATCGGAGGTGCGAGGGAAGGACAACAACCCCTCTGTATGGACAACGCGCACAACCCAAGTGGCACGAGACACGAAGCGGGGGGACAAGGCCGTGGGGAGGCAGGCAAGGGGGCAGCAGTGCTCTGCGCAAGCAGCGCGCAAGGTACAGCAGCTCCCTCTCGAGGCACGGCCGCTTATGTGCAGCGAGCTGGGCTCAGAGACGCCCCGGGGACGAGTGGGAGAGGCGGGTGTCGGAGGGAAGAGGCTGCGGCCTCCCCACGCCACTCTGGCAACCCCTGCTGCTCGGGACATGCGCACCCCACGATCAACTATTTTTTTTTTAAACCAGGTAAGGCCAACTTGAGCCGTATAACTCTGAAATTTCGATTTAAAGCTTTGGTGACTGCAGGGATTCATCTTCTTGGTTCTTTCGGTAAAGCCACGTAGAAGGAAAATAATAAAATAATAAAAAAATAAAATACAAAAATGTAATTCTTTTATGTTTAATTTTTATTATTTTCCTTCTACGTGACTTTACCGAAAGAACCAAGAAGACGTATAACTCTTTTTGAGAAGCGAACCCTGGCCACAAATGATAGCTCGACGAATTGGGCTTATCATCACGTGGACATTTCTAGCAGCCAAATTCTGTGAAACGCACGTTGATTCTATACACACGACCAGCAGCTGGGTCAGGATCGAACCCACAACCTCCTGTATACCAGGCGAAGTAGTTAACATCTTAGCCACCAAGACAGCGCGACCCTCTCACAGATCACCGCACCTCATGCTAACATCTGTAGGTTTTATCGGCATCCCCGTCTCCAGTTCCTCTCGCATGGGGGGGGGGGGGGTAGAGCAGTTGTGTGTGGGGGGGGGGGGCATCGTAGCAGCGATCTACCGCGAAAGGAGAGAGAACTTTGGCGGTTCAGGGCTGTACGGCCCTCCGATGAGTTTTCGGGCTGTGACCGCGTGTTGTTCGCCACGTCGTCCGACGTTTCACTCCACGGTCGCGACGGAATAACGCATCTGCCAAAAATACAATTGTTCAGGAAGGAGCTCGCTCCCGGCACCACAAGGCGAAACGTCGGAGCGAGACACGGCGCTACCCAAAGTCGCCAATTGAGAACGCGTGCCTCACTGGTTGAGCGCGAGTCTCAGCAATCTGTGGTGCTGTGGACAAATATCAGTGGAGAATCAGATCAGCGGAATTGCCGTCTTACCGTCGGCTATCATCGACGGAGTTTTTCGGACGGCACAGAGAACAGATGTGGGCATCCTTCAGGGGCTGCATCTGCAAGGATCCTTGGAGCTGTTGGCCAATACGTGGCCAATCAATTACGCACGCATCGTACACACATTGTTTCGGTAAATGATGGCGTACTTCCAAGAGAACAGCCAAACTTACCGCTTCATAATCATCATCAGCCATTGCCAATACACTGCTGGACGAGGGCCTCCTCAAGCTATTGACATCGCTTAGGGGCCTGGGTTTGTAACGCAAGTCCCACCGCACGCATTGCAAATTGCAAAAAAAAGGCACTCGCATCGTACGATCTGGTATATTTTTGTTGTTTACAAATGATCCACCAACGCCCGCTACGGATTACTGCATTCGGAAACATAACACTTTTTTACGCATGGCACACCACGGGGGAGGGGAAAAGCAGCCAAGGATTGAATGTGCGGACAGGGAACGGAAAAGGGAAGTGAGATAAGGGCAGCCGGAGCAGCAGAAGTCTTCAAGATAAAGAGGGCGCCCCCACTCGAGATGAGCAGCAACGAAGAGAGAAGTTGCCGAGGGGGAGAAGGAACGACCGCGGCCACGATGTTGGGGATGAGAGCGTGACGATGGGACGGGAGGGAAGAGAGGGAGACAGAAGGAAGGAGCGAGCAGGAATCGAGCAGCGCTGAGCAGCGTCTGCAGAGGGGGGAGGGATTCGGAGTGGTGGCAGCCACACGAGTCACGTGAGAGGCGTACGCACGCTGAACAAAGACTTGGGGCGCGTGGGTAGCATTTAGGATCATCCAGCAGTATCCCGCCTTGTGCGATGATATCCGGTGGCAACCGTACGACCTCTTATTCCTACTCGCGCGACGTAATAACACCGTGGCCCTAATAGAAAAAATATGTAATCAGCGACGTTTTAGGCAATAGTTCTTCTTCACAGTTAAAGATATCGTGCACACACACACACACACTATCAAATCCTAGGAAACGCAAATGAATTTGAAACACCAATTCGGAGCTTTGTAGATGATAAGGCATTTGATCCAATAGAAACCTATGCGGTCATTCGAGCTCTGATACGCCAGGGCCGAAATACAGAAGTATATAGAAAATATTGAAATGAATTGTGAAGATGGAACAGCTGCCCCCGAGACGGCACAAATTATTTTCCAAGATCCGCACCTCGAGAGGAGTCGTGGGGGCTAAGGGGCTACGCTCTCGGTGACTCACGGCAAACTTTGGAAGATATTTTCTGGAAACCGAGCGAACGCCGTCAGGATGACCCATCTCAGATTTGTCGATGACAGTCACCGACGGGTGCGATGGGGACGAACCGTGGGGGGGGGGGGGGGGGGGGGGAATTGTTGAATTACTAAACAAGGACGGGCCAAAAAGACGGGCTCAAGATGAACGTGAGCAGAGCTGAAGTCGTTGTGAAACGACCCAGGGTCTTCGGGTGCATTCTCCGATTTATCGAGTGGCATTTCCAGAAGTTGAATATTCATGCGCGTGCCCCCTTGTTGGGCTTGTTGGGGTCTCGGCAGTTTAACGGGCTGTGTGTTGGCAGCTTGTTTAGTGGTTTTCTTTTGGGCAGTAATATTTTAAGTTTTTGTATTCTTAGGTTTTTTTCGGTAAAGTCACGTAGGTAAAAAAATTAAATAGTAAAATAACGTCGTGATTTTTATTTTTATTTTATTTTACTTTTTAATGTTTTTACCTACGTGACTTTACCGAAAAAACCTAAGAATATGAATCATTGCAGTCACGAAAGCTTCAAATCGAGAATTTAAGTTTTTGATTTCGGTATTTTTACCGTCATGGCTTTATTGCGATTGCCCTATTTTCCAGCCGGCGTTTTGCATCGATACATTGCCAACATCCTTTGAGACTGTGTCGCCTTCGATGTGTTTAGTGAAGAGCCTCGAGATGCGACGGCGTTTAGAGGCTACCTAAAATGTGTATCTAATTGTACAACGGAAAATATTTGTCGTGAAGACGCAACTGGAAAACGCAACAGAATACGTGTACATGGCGATTATGGATGATGCACAGGGTTCAGCATGACAATAAAAAGACGAATTCAATAATGCCGTCGCCACCGCCACCACCGCCACCACCGCGCGCTCTACAATCGTTTGGCCTGGGCCTCGTCGCACGAACTCGTGGCGTGCGGGGGGGGGGGGTGCCCGTAGCGGAGGAGGAGGAGGCTTCGAGAGCGCCCGGGCTGCTCTCCGCGTTACTGTATTTCTTTTGGCATTTTTGTCTGTACGCATCCATCTCTCGGAAAGGGCATATCAGCCCGATGTGTCTTTTCATCTTTTGTAGTGAGCTCTTCCCCACCCTACCCACCCACCCACCCCCCGTCACCACCATCCCCCCTCCTCCTCCCCCCTGTACTTCTCTTTAAAAAAAAAACCTTTTTGTCTCTCGCACTGCAGCGTCTCGCTTGGGCGTGTGCACACACACAGACAGAGACCCCCCCCCCCCGGTATAGCCTCATCATATTGTTAGGGCCAGTGCTGTTAGCGAGCACCTATTAAGGCTGGCACGG